AAATCTCAGCTTTTTAACAGATTGTTTTGCTTTACCTCTTAGATCGAGTATTTAGTACCTGAGAAAATTGCTATGATTTGAAAAAGTACTAACAAATAATCAATTATAATCATCGTCGTCATTCTGCATGCATTTACTAACAATGAATCTCATTTTTATGTGCATGTTATCTGTATCTTGTCATCATCAAGTGACGAGAGTATTACCGCAGACAAACAATTTTTTACGAGACTCGGAGTTAAAATTTTAATGTAATACATAATGCATACACTTAATATTACAAGAATATAAAAAATACTTTACAAAGTACTTTGATTTCATTATAAACGTCTATTTCTTTTTCTGTACATATAATAATAGAATTAAAGTAAAAAAACTAATATTGCGTTTTTTACACACTATGTATCTATAATAATGATTGTGATACATGTATATAAAGTTACAGTGTAATGTAAAGAAAGTATAAGCAAATGTAAAGAAATTATATACGAAACTAGAGTAAATATGTATAATCTTAAATGCTGAGTAAGTTCATTCGAGTTCAGATCTCTATAAAAATTTCCCCGCGTATTTTACGTTCATGAACTCTTTCCTTCCTTATTACAGATTATTATAACAATTTATTTATGTACGTGTATTACGTTTCACACCGTATGAAGAAATAATGAGAATACGAAAAGTATTCATATGAATATCACAACTATTTTTAAATGCTGTTAATGCGTAGTTAATAATTTAATTTTCTGCTTAAACAAATTTGATTTGGACAAATCATAATGCATACTCGTGCCGAGACATAATTAATATAATATTCCTCATATGCAAAAATAATTACGTTTACATTGTACGTATGTCTTGTATATTTCTCATATATGACGTCCTATTCGCGGAATAATTATTATTAAGAACGACTTTCTTAATTGGCATTTATGATCATGTGTTAGTAGTAGTCTGACGTTTTCGATCATCCGATATTACGTCACCGTTATTTCCCCTCCTTTGTAACCGGCACTCACTCTATCGTCAAACATCTGGCTATTTAACAATAAATACAAGCATATCTATATCACTGATAACATGTAAGTATATTAAAAGTGGCATAGTCATAGTGCGAAACTAATCTCTAATTGATCGCGTTGTATCAATCCGTAATTATTGATTTATTCCTTTGAACAATCCGGAAGTATATTTTATGTACGTATACTTAAACGTGTCACTTTGAAAATGTACTAACATTCAAAATATGCATTATCATCCTAAAATTTGCATTAATTTTACATTTTGTGCGGTTCTTTTAAGAAAGAATCTATATCGTCATATAATACTTTTCTCATCGATTATCTCAATTTTTCAACTAAATACTAACAGAGAGAAGATCTCTGTTACTAATTACCGTGTCCATAAAACGAAGATATTAATGCAGTCTTAATACATTAATATATTAAAGTGAACAATAATTTGAACTGTTTCAATAGAAAATTATATAGGTTTCTAAAATACCTTATTATAATTTCGACGTATAATATGTATTATAATACGTATAACTTATTTGCATTGGCAAACACAAAATGAAAACTCCGTTGCAAAGTAATCTAAATAGAGAACTTTAATGCGTACTTGGCTACTTTTATTTTTGGTAGCCGTAGAATAACAGAACTTTTAATTACATATTTAACATTTAAATAAAGGTATCAAGTACGGCTTCTTGTCCTCGTTCGTAATTCCTAAATGTACGCTTAATTTCAATGTATATCGGATCTAGCATACGCTTTCTCACCGTTCGTTACCTGAGGCTCGTAACACTGTTATTCCGTCCCTGATTGCAATATTGAAACGGAACGCGTGCAGTGCGCAAGAATATCCACGAAGAAGTGTTGTGGCGGGCGTCTGCTGCGTCAGCCGTTGAGCAGCATTTAACTTTGACATAAAATGTGAAATATCTTTAAACATTTCATACCGACTCGTTAACGAAATTCAGTTGTAAAAGTTGCACGCAAAGGTGCAGTGAGTGTTACAAGTTCAATAAACTCCTAACGGAAGTCTTCGATTTTTCGTCATATACTATTACTTACTACTTATCAGTATAGTCAGTCGTCGTATGTACAGAAATTAGGGCGTGAAAAAGGTTCGTTCAGTCCAATTGAAATTTGCAAAAGTTTGACAAAATAATGTGTGTCAAGATAGACACCATACGTACCATTCACTTGTAGGGAACTGGGCGGACGTGTTACTTGGTTCTAGACGTATTTCATGTCCTAAAATTATTAATTTGTTGGAAATGTTGCAATTCCCATTCAACGTTTCTCATTATGCGTACATACGTATTTTGTTTCTTGCGTTACTCTTCTTTAACCTTAAAGCATATTCTAGCAACATGGTATTGCTTTTTAGGGAGTAAATTTTATTGACTAATAATTTGTAATAATTCCAAACATGACTGGTTCATAAAGAATTCGGCATGCCAAGAATTATTTCCTGGAGGTTGCATGGGTAGTCATGAATATTTTATAAATATGACTTGTAAGCCTAAGACTATAATAATTACATTGATCAGTAATTTTAAGATAATGTATGTAAAACCAGGTAAACGTTCGTTAATTTCTACGTAAATTTATTTTTT